GAGCCCGGGCCAGCCCTGCATGTGTGGGCTGGGGTCCCTGCCCTGCCCTGCCCTGCACTGGGGGGCTTCTCTGAGCACCCTGGCCCATCGATGCAGCTGGTTGTTGCCAGGTCGAGCAGCAGAGCGAGCCCGGCCTCGGCTGCCTGCCCCAGCACTGCTAGCACTGGCCGTTCTGCTGCGCGGCTCCCCCCGTAGCGGACTCTAGCACGCTGCTTGATGCTGAGCCCCGCTTCCTGCACAGGGGGTCCCCAGCACCCGCCCTGGATGCAGCCTGCTACCAGAGCGGTGCAGGAGCCGTGAGCCTCCCGGGGCTCTCCAGGAGGGCTGCCTGCATGGGCACGCCGCTGGCCCATGCCCCCCACTTCACCAGCATGCTGGGGCCATGGGAGCCGCAGCTCAGAGCTGTCCCCTGCCCACGATGCCTGGTGGCAGTCAGAGAGAGGTGGCAGGAACGACCCAGGAGGGGAAGGCCTGAGTGTCCCCACTTCCACCTCCTCCTGGCAGCGTCCTAGGCTCGGCCTCCCGGCAGTCCCCCTGCCCGGGGCGCGTGGGGCATTCTCTTCCACCGTGCAGCTCTCTGGCCAGCTCGGTTCCTGCGCCTGCATTTCCCAGCTGCTCTGTCTCTGTGCTGTGCCCCAGGGCCCAGCTGCTGTCTGTGGGCACGGCCCTGCCCTCTCTCCTGACCTCGCTGTGAAACCCCCAAATAAAGGACAGGTCTCACTGCATCTCCTGTGCCCAGGGCCTCTTGATTTCCAGCATCATGCAGCAGGGGCCACAGGGGTGGTGGATTCCTGAAGCCACCCCAGTTCGCTGGTCTGTATTGCACCGGGTGCAGTGGAGGCTCCTCTAGCCTGCCCAGCAGTGTCTCATGTGCCTGGGGGACCCTTGCACGCCAGTTGTTTGTGGCACAGACCTGGTGCGTGTCCCTGACCAGCCTTGCCCAGCAGCAGTGCTGGCAGCGAGGGGTTGCTCTTAATGTCCCTTTGAGCTCCCTTGACGCTGCACATCAGCCCCAGAGATTGCTCCCTGCCCCCACGGCTGCCTGCCTGGAAGTGTGAGGGGAATTCCTCGTTGCTCATCCTCCAGCTGCCTGCAGCTGGACAGAGCTCCAGGCCTGGCCCCACGCCGCTTCATACGCGGAGCCTGGCGCTTGGACGTGTGCTGGCCTGCAGCGGCTCTTTAAGTGAGGCCAAGTACGGGGGTCGCCGGACCGGCCTGCGATGGACCGCAAGCGTGGGAGCCAAGCAGCAGCTACTCCGTTTGGCCAAGCAAAGGGCCAGCCGGTGGCGGGGTTGGGGCCAGTCCAGCCTCTCCTGTCTAGGCCAGCGCTGGGGGAGGCCGGGGGCTGGAAGAGGATGCTCTGAAGCCAGCAGCCCACATCTCCCTGTTCACCCAGGGATGTGACCTGCCCCACAGCCACGGGCTGCTGGAGAGCTCGGTGCTGGGCGGAAGCTCGTTCCAGCCCCTGGAATGGCTCCTAAAGGCACAAGTCCGGCCATGAGTGACTTAAAAGCCAGCCTGCGTCTCTATTGACCCAGCTGCCCGGAGCACCTGGCGGCTCCCACATGTTGTTTACCTGGGGCAGCTGCTCCGTGCCAGCCTGTCGGCTCCACAAACCTCCTTGAACAGGGCAGGGTGACCGCTGACGGCTGCCCTGCTGCCCGCTACCCTGCCTGTGGTGTGGGGGCAAGAGCCACGGGCCCACAGCTAACGCCACGCTGGGCAGGGGACCTCAGCAGCTTGGGCCGGGGGCCGGGACCCCCTCCAAGGACGCCACCAATGTGATGCATCTGTTTTGAAACTACTTAGCACGGGTGAGCGCTGGCTTTCTGGTCCAGCGCTGGAGATCCCCAGCTTCGCCCGCTGCTCTCTGGCTGCAGAGGCCGAGCAGAGGACGTGGGAGCGCCGAAGGCAGCGAGGAGGCAAGGCGGCCGTACGCCGCAGATGCTTCCCCCGGCCCGGTTTCGCTTCGCTGCCTAGGCAGGGAAGGAAGAGCTTCTCCAAACAGAGGAAGGAAGCAACGCCAACACAGGAGCCATGGTGGGTGCCAGGCCGGCTCCTCCACCACATCCTGTGCTCTAGATAACCCTGTGCTTAGTCAGCGGCCCTCAGGAAGGCGGCACGGTGAGGGCTGCCGGCACGTCCTCCAGCTGGGCCGCCGTGGTCTGCGGCACCGTGCCCAGGCCCGCTCTTGGCCGAGGGGTGCTGGCGCAGATCGTCTAGCCGCTCGCAGCCCACCCCCCCAGCAGCAGCAGTGGTCGCTTGTCTAACAGGCGCGGGGGCGTCCGTGGGGCGCTAGCACAGGAGGCCCCAGCACCTGGGCAGGGAAGGAGTCTGTACTGCAGGAGCCCCGCCGGACCACCCTCCTTTCCCGAGGCGCTGGCTGGGGGCGCCCACGTCTCGGGGCTGCTCTGTGTCCCCAGCACGTGTGTGCACAGGGCCGGCTGCTCCCATGCTGTGCCAGGCGGGTGGGTGCGACCTGCCCAGGGGAGCGGTGCTCAGCGCCCAGGCCGGGGGGCACCCTCGAGGAGCGCTGTGCACCCCTCCCACGGGGACTGCGCACCCAGCGCCGGGACCCCGAGC